ATATGACTGCCGTCACGAGAAAAGGGTCCGTAAGGTCAAAATTTCACAAATTGACTTTTTGATAAATAATAATAGTCTGACACTTTCTGAGTTCAAATTTATCAAGGTTTCAAAGATATCACGTTTAAAGTTATCACAGATTTTACAAGCATTTCAATCAGGCGCCTCAAAACCGCTTTTACGTTACACATTGAAAAAATATAACGTTGCGTGGCATCAATTCCCTTTCCAACATTCATTTATTAATAAATGACCATTGTTTTCACTACCAAATTCATGAGACAAGATTTTATTACTACCTGTATTTTCAACTGATGTCTATACACTGAATGCACTTGCCAATCTAGAGAATGTGAGTCGATTGTAGGGGGGAGGGTCACCCCCACCCCCGCACATACATAAAAATAGGTTTCTCGGCTTTGAGGAAGTATTTTTTTTTCTGGTTGTAAAAAGATATCTGAGTCGATTTTTTTAAAAATCGAGTGGATCTTCCCACACAAATACATGTACCTTGGTAAAATTCCTGGATTTTTGCATGCACTAAAGCGAATATTAAGTTTTTTCCTTTTAAAAAATTGCCTTTATTCATTCAATTTTACATGTTCTGCCTTAATGATCATAGTATAAAAACAAAATAGAGTTACACAATAATGTTTTGGACCTTTTCATAAACGTTTTATTCCGTAAATGAAATTGATACTTTTTGAAACTGCTTATTTTAGCATTTGAATCTACATGCTACTGTAACAAGTGTGTGCACTTATAATTGGTTTTGCAGATACAATAACTTATTATCCTTATTCCTCATCAGGAGCTGGACAGGTAAGGTCCTTTTTGTGGTCTTTTACAAAAGGTCTGATGTACTTAAATAGATACAATTTTCTCTCAGCAGAGAGCCCACCTGCAAGAGGAAAAACAATGCATGAATCAATATTCCTCACGTGAAATACATGGTGAAGGACCTAAAAAATTTCTAAAATTTAATACCTTTTACCAAAGTCGTTGGTAGATTCGTGGCAGAAAAACTAGCACCCTGGTCCTGAAGAATCTTGATTGGTTTCTCCGCATCTGTTGACTTTCCTGGCTGCATTGCACTAAATCTAAAATGATATAATTTTCTGATCCTTGGAATTGCTAAAAAATCCGCAGATAAAAATGACGTCCAGTCATACCATTGAAAGTCATTTTCTACCACTATGGCCTGATTTCCAACGGCAGATTTACAAACAGTTCTGTTTAAATCTTCAAGCGAGTCATTGTCAGTCCTACAATAAAAACCTGTATATATTAGTAACTTTTATCCAAATAAAAACATTTCTTTAATCATGTCTGTCAAAGAAATTATAATAAAAGAGGAAAAAAGACTTTTAGTTAGAATGAATACATCTTACTGACCGACGATACAATTTCTTAATGTAGGCAAATCCTGCGTCTACTAAGCACTTTGTATGCCCAGGTATTTGCATTGTACGGGTTATTTCTGTATGAAGCCCAGTAAGTATTCTCCATGCAAGATAGACCAACATGTAACGGTTCTTTTTCTGTCCTACAAAATATAAGACCATTAATAAACGTTAAGAACATTTTTATAAAATGGCAGTTATTGAAATGGATGCTTCAGACGTAAATATAAATGAGCAGTGCTTTAAACTTAAACAGAATTGATCACCTGCACAATTATCGCAGTGGATTTTACAAGACATCTCTCCACACCCGTAGTTTTGTAATGTTTGGTGCAAAAGAGTGATTACTGTGTTAGGACCGTGTGCCTTTGTACCATCCACTCCAATCGTCTGGTCCTTGTCAAAGAGATAGTTATACTGCTCTTTGCTCCCTTCCATACACACCCCAAAAGAGCTGAACCTTTCTAGGTGAGGTGAAATAAAGCGGACCCTCTAGTCTGGCATGGTGTGGAATGGTGAGCTGCTGGGCAAAGTCGAAGGTGTAGTGCACGTTGTACAAAGAAGTTGACGATGACTGTCGACCTACTGGGCGATGTCCATATTCTTCCAATTCACTCCGTGCAGCCTGGACGCTTTCTCTGTATATCATGTGTTCACCTGCTCGTAATGTGGAACATACGTTACATTTGATTATTGGTGAATCCTCATGACATTTGAAAAATTTAACTGATTTATAAAATCATTTTCAAAAATATAAACAAAAGATTATGAAATAGAATAAAGAAATATAGGAATTCTACCTTGCGAAACTTCAATGTGATATTTAAATGCGTCTAAGGCCATCAGTTTATCTTCTTCTGTGACAGCAGCTGTTACTTGATATCTCAGCTTCTCACATTTAGAACACATGTCTGCTCTTGGTGAAGCTATTTTTATATGTGACATGCAGGTAAGCCATATCCCCTTGAGTGATCACAGTTCTACGGCTCTTACCTGACTCTCTTCACAGGCTACTTTGTATTTTAAATGGATGTCTGCTTTCGTCGTCGAAGCTGCTAGTAAAATAGATGTCTCCGAAGCATCATTAGCATGTGGTACAGCTGGCAATGGTATGCCATTTTCTTCACCATATCTCAAAATAAAATTTACTACTCTCTTAATATCTTGGAATTTCAAAGTATGCTTAGGTTTTTTGCCTTTGTTGCCATGCAACCTTGGAACAGGACCATTTTTCTTTAAATGCTGAACAATGTTTTTCAATCGTTCTTCCCCAATGTCGTGGATGAACAAAAATGCTTCCTTGCATATTTCGCAATCGTCATATTTGTATGCGAATCTTTGCCTCTTTTTTTACTCAAATCATCGCCGATACTTTTACTTTTTAACTTTCCCATTATATACATATCTTGTTTGTCTTTGGTAAGTTCTCGCATTGTGTAAATGTGATTGGTGATTTTCTCAATGTGAAACTTTTCATAACATTTTGATTGACAGGCACAACCGCTTTTAACCGTTTCTTTTACCAAGAAATCTTCCTCAAAAATTGTTGCTGTATCATTGTCTTCAAAGAGATCATAATTCCTGGAAAGTCTATTAATTGTTTCTCCTTCTGTTTCATTTGTATTTGCAAGAACAGTATCGTTTTCGTTGTCAGTGACATTGTCTCAATACTTTGTAAAGCTCTTGAAAAATATTCCGCATTAACTTGATCTAATTCCTATACAAAAACACAAACACAGTTCAATTTGGATATATTTCTCTAAACTAGGTAAAATTAATATGAAATACTTTTTTTATCAGAAAAAAATAATTTTATGTATCAATTTCTTTATTTCATTATTTATTACTTATTCGCTTTGAACTTATATACAGTCCGGGATCATTAAATCACACCGTTCAATAGTTTTTTTTATTAGAGCGCAATACTATAGCTACGATAAACAATCTAAAAAATAAATTACATAAACTTTCTGGAAGCGTAGCGAATCACTATATATTAATTTTTTTAATAGGTTTTAGAGTTTTAAGATTTTTATTTAATATCAAGTTTCTGTTTTACGTACTAAATACTTAAAAAAAATTATTAATGATACGATTCCAAAATCTTCAATGAATTCTCACACATTTTCACCGCGCAGACCATACACGTACATGTACACAACTCTCCTTAACATTAGTTTTCATTTAACAGTCAAGCCAGTGTTTGTGTAAGAGGAAATAAAAAAAAGAAATGATTTAGGCAATATTTACATTTTTTTCAGAAAAGAATGTAACGGCACTAAAAAAAGATATACATAAATTATTCTCTCTCTCTCTCTCTCTCTCTCTCTCTCTCTCTCTCTCTCACACACACACAAAGACATCATATCATGAAATAACACTCAGTCAAAGTTAAAACGTAAATAGTATTGGGAAACTTGTATCTCTCTCTCTCTCTCTCTCTCTCTCTCTCTCTCTCTCTCTCTCTCTCTCTCTCTCCCTATATATATACATGTACATGTATCACTATGTATCAATGTATTATATCTAGAGTTGACATCGCGATTCGTGTGTATTGAAGGTCGCGATAAGTTATAGGCCGAAACACCCAATATGATATGCATAATTCCAATTAATGAAATACATATTCTACATAATAATAATGTTATTAATAATATTTTCTATATCAATTTATATATAATTTGAAAAGAAAAAATGTCCTTTACCTGGAAATCCATTTCTACTTTATTTTCATTGTTCATCAACACATCAAATGCAGCCGACAAAAATCACTTCAGTGTTTACAATACCGCGACTTTGACGTCGTTTTCTGAGCATTGTGACGTCGTATGATAAGGGCCCTTTTCTCGTGACGGCAGTCATATATATATATATATATATATATATATATATATATATATATATATATATATATATATATATATATATATATATATATATATATATATATGTATATACATGTATATATATATATATATATATATATATATATATATATATATATATATATATATATATATATATATATATATATATATATATATATATGTATATTTCTTTTTACATTTGTGGTTCTTGTTAATATACATTTTGTTACATGATCTGGTAATACTATGCATCTTAACTATGAATATCTTTTTTAATAAAAGACAATCCCACAATGTGTGTGTATATCTAAATAAACATTTTGTGATGAATCCAATACATGAGGTATTATCTGTACTATTAAATACACTTTGATTAGTTATCGATTAGTTTATACTACAAGTAAATACGGAAAACATAACTAAATAGTAGGTTTTCCAAACCTTTGAAAAGAGGTCAAATTTTTCTGTGCACTTCCAAAACTAGGCCATTTACATCAGGACATAATTGTGTAAAGATAAGAAGAAATAGCCGATACCAATTTGGAGAAAATTCTTAGATAAGAAAGTACAAGACTTTGTAACTGAAATACAATGTCATCATTCTTATTTTGCTTTCTAATGTTTCTTCATTTTGAGGGATGCTTTGGAAATATCGAAAATGGGGCCATTCCAAGGTTGGAGAGAATGATTGCAGATTTGATAGAAGACAACGAGGCAATAAGGGAAAAAAATGGCGATTATTCAGGAGGACAACAAGGAGTTGAATCAGAAGATTGACAAAGTCTTGATGGAAAACAAGCGGATTAAACGGGACATGGAGGACCAATCAAAGGCGAACGCTCTTCAGGAGAAGAAAATCTCGAAAATGGAACACACGGTTGCTGATATGCAAAAGACTTTGAAGAATTGTGAAATTCAGAAAACATCAATACTTAACACAGGGCAAAAAATATTGCAGAAAGAAGAATTATTCAGACATGAAGACAATCATACAGCGCCTCTGATCAATGGTACAACATTTGACAATACACAAGCACACAATTTACCTGAAAAACTGAATATCTATAACGAACAGCGCAGGAGGGTTCAACGATTACTGATGACGGGTAATAATTTTAAATTTACTGCCATTGATACTGTAACTGTTTTTTTTTCCACTATGCCATAATTACGCGGAATTATATTTTTTGCAAACTATGCATTTTTCTTGTATTGCCATTGTATGTTGTAAATTTAAGTCATCTTAGATTACTTTCCTTGGAACATTTAAGATAAAGTACGCAGTATGTAGACTTAATCTCATGTAGAAAATGTACCATAGTAAGTTATTATTTAAGGCCTGAAAGAAATACTTCCATTTCAGAAATGAATTCTTAATGGTGCTTCTTTATGTAATTAGAAAGGAAATTAGTTTTGCAAAACCTAAATGATAAACCATATAGGAATACTATAAACGTACAATTTGTTGTGTACTCTATTTAGCGCCTTTTGCAGAAAGAAGCCTCTGATAAATCAAGTACACGGTATTTTGAGCAATATCTTTCAGTTTGCTACATGTACCTACATCTAATAAAAACTTTTTATATATATATTTAGATACGTTTTGCACATGAGTGATGCACATTACACATTTAGCTTAGAACAAAATAACTATCTAAAGGCATTTACCCTTCCTAGGCCATATTTTTAAAAATCATTTCTTGATAGTAACTATGTTTCATTTTGATTAGCATTATTTTTGTTCAATTCAGTACAGTTTATGAAATTTAGATATCAAAAGATACAAATTTACAATAAAATAATGTTGTCTCGACAATATAACTCTTATTTGTTTTCCTGCTCGAATATCTTTTGATAACTGTTCCTATTAAATACATATGTTAAACTACCTTCTTTACAGATATCCCACCTACACCTGCCGATTGTGTTGCCTTCTTTTCTTTCATGTCCAAGTCGGAGAATCACCCAGGCCAACATCAGACAATCATCTTCGATGTTGCACATACAAACGTCGGCAGTAACTACAGTCCACATACTGGTGCCTTCACTGCTCCCAAACATGGCGTGTATGCATTTACTTGGAAAATATATGCCAGCTCTGGCGGATTCATTTTTACGGATTTGGTCGTCAACTCCAACTCTGTATCTGGGTCATTTGCTGGTGCTCAAAGTGTCAGCACTATAGTTTCGTCAACAGATATGGTCATTTTAGAATTGAACCAAGGCGATGAGGTTCATATTCGTACACAACCAGACGTGGGAGTGAGTGGGATTTTACAAAGCACTCGCCGATACCGATCTACTTTCAACGGCTGGAAACTCTTTTGAGAATAAACTATCAAATGAATAAAATTCAAAGGAATCCATTCAATTACGTTCATTTTGCATATCTTACATTTCTTTTGTCTTCTGACCTAAGTGTACAATGTGTTAATTAATTTATTGTTTCTCATCTGTATATATATATATATATATATATATATATATATATATATATATATATATATATATATATATATATGATTGCGCCCATGACAAAATGGCCTTATGGCAATTTTGCTAAAACAGAGAAATAACGTCATAAAGATTTGACGTTGCAGACGGTGAGCGTCGACGCAGATTTTTTTTTATCCACGTGTTTTACGTTTTAACTCGTCTAGCTCACTTTTGTCGTTGTTCTCAACCATTGAAATAATTATTTATTTTCATTTATATCTTTAATTCACGTCTTGATCTTCTAGTCCACTGATATTAATTAAAATATTTAGAATTTTATTCGAGACCCGTTTCTTTACTACATGTTATATTGTAGCTTTATACGTCTCTGATCTGGGCTATGCATTTCCTATACATGTATAGAAGCTTCAGACAAGGTGATTTTCTGGATAATTGAATATGGATGAACGAATGCGATTTTGATATATAGACAAATTGAAGTTATTTGTTAGACACGGGTATATTATCAAAATATTGCAGAGGAAATCGTTTTCCTGTATAAGATCCGCCCCACCATTCTCAACACATCGATCATGTAAACATTGCAGCAGTGGTACATCGTGCATAAATTTTTGTTGTAAAATGCTTTAATTGCCAAAAATTTGAAACTGATCACACTTCTTCCAACAGAAAAGAAAAGTATTCTTGTAAGTTTTCACAAATCTAGCAACGAATGACAGACGTGATATTGTTTTTAAGAACTATAAATGAAAACAAGAGAGGTAACTCTGACAAGCGAGATACTAGAGAGGTACCAGAGAGGGACTTTCTTTTTTTTTTAAACACTATTCAACATCAACATACTCCTACAAATTTGCTCCCGTAGTATAAGAAATATTTTTAAAAATCTTTCTTATCATCAGTTAAAAAACGTTTTAATTGTAAGTATTATTTTTATATTTTCTTTAAAAGTATTTTTGAAAGCTCATGGAACTAGCTGCTGTCAAAGTGAAAGAGAAAAAAACCAGACTTTCATTTATTATTTAAATCTGTTACATGTGCATCTATTTATTTTAACATGAAATTATTTTTTAAAATAACTTTAATTTTATTTTTTTTTTTCAGTAATAATTATCATAAATTTGAATAAAATGAAATTTTAAAAAAAATCGTTTCGTCTTATTTTTGTTGTTGCCACTTTCGATGTAAGTACTTGAAAACAAACAAAAACTACCGAATGAAATAAAATTGTTCTAATTGTTCTAGCTTAAAAAAAAAGTTTACATGTATGTATACCTGATGTGTGTGTATGTGTGTGAGAGAGAGAGAGAGAGAGAGAGGTTACATTAAATCCAGTTTATTAATACAATGTGAAACTTTAATGAAAAGGCGAATTTTCAAAAACACAACAATATTGTATTATGAACAGAAATCTCTATCTCTTTTTTTTCTTTTGCTGTCTATTTATTTTCAGTAACTCGAAAATATAACGTTTGGTACTCGTGTTGTGCATAAAAAAGTTCAAAGGTTTTAGCTTTATCTGCATTTTTTAGTTAATGCAGATAAAGCTAAAACCTTTGAACTTTTCCTAAAAGTCAAATATATATAATGCTTGTCCAATCTAATTAAAATTAGATCTTCCATTCGCTCCCCGATTTTTATATGTCCTCGCGACATATAAAAAATCGGGGAGCGAATGGAAGATCTAATTTTAATTAGATTGATGCTTGTCATTCATAGAATCTCAGCATTGTATGTCATTACAGTTCTATTATCAAACTCGTTTTCTTATTGAAATAATAATCTCAGTTATCGGTTTAGTATGACATTGCTTAACTTGCCGTTGAATTATGTAAACGGGCTGATTTTGTTATTTGGATTTATTGAAATAAATCTGGTTAAGATCAAATTCTATTTAAACAGGCATTGTACAAATTAAATTAAATGTTAAAAATATACTGCACAAAAGACTAAGAATATGTTTGCAAGTTTTTATTTTTGTGGCAGTGCAGGAGACCGGGGAAGAGGGCCAGGGTCATTTTATATTACCGGGACCTAAATATTTTACAGTGTATCTGTAAAGCTTTACAAGGATAAGCATATCCTAGTCTCTTGCATGGGGCCAGAATGGAATTTTTATATTGTAAAACTTCACCTGAATCAACGATTTAAGATATAAGATATTATCCTGGAAATATTGACTACTTGCTAAATGTTCATATCTTTTTAAGGATAAATATTTTTGTTTTGTTTTTGTTTTTGTTTTTTGTTTTTTTTTTTTTGTTTTTTGTTTTTTTTTTTTTTTGTTTTGTTTTTTTTTTTTTTTTTTTCAAATTGAAATACTGTATGTGTACTTAAAAAAGCGGGCTTCATATTTTGGCGCAGACAACGATGCGCTGATTTATGAATACCGCTAAGAAATCATTTATAAATACAATATACGGCAAGGACATGCAAAGCGCTAATTCATGATTTCGTCAACAACTCCATACCCAGTGATTGCGCTAAATTTTGAATATGCCAATTTATGTACCCGTACAGTATCTTTGCTTATAAAGGTCCCTCTCTCACTTAAGAAGTCAAACATTATTAGTTAAACAACCTTATCACAGACTACCACTAAAAACAAGAGACACCATTTCTTAATTATTTATTTATTAAGTTTGGCATCATATGACCACGGCTGGTTGCAAATCAATTATTTAAGATACATGTGTTCAGTGGGTGCCGACCCAATTGGTTTTTGGCACACCTCCAATCAAAGTAAACAATCAAACAATCAATCAATCAATCAATATTAACTGTACACATGTCATTTTTTACACTATAAGACTGGCGTTTGCTTTCCAACTTTTGCGGTGCGCCAGCCTTATAAAACAATATTCAATCAATCAATCAATATCAAGTTCAATCAATCAATCAATAAATTTATCAATTCAATTAATGAATATCCAATTAATTAATGAATATTCAGTTGAATCAATCAAAAAGTTTCAGTCCAATGAATCAATCCATTTTCAATAATATCAATCAATATTAAATCAATCAATCAATGTTCAATCAATCAATGTTCAATCATATCAATCAATCAATATTCAATCAATTTTCAATCAATCAATACTCACTCAATTCAATGAATTGTAGTAAATTTATGTTTAAGCCAAACAATATTTCAATTAATCAATCAATGTTCTGTGTTAATCATCAAGTCAATTAATTGTTTTCCATCGATAAGTCATCCGCATAATCAAGTTGTACTTGGGCCCTGTTAACAGCGACGCAAGTCAAGATGATTTGTGTTAAGCGCTATACGATGTATCTCTCCAACTGGCACTTCGTTCTGTCAATTACAGAGACAATACTGTACGCATAATAAGATGACCAGCTGTGACGATATATGGGTGTTGTGTAGTCCTTGATCGATAATTATCGTGTTGCAGCTTCACCCTGTTTAGAGTCATGCAATAAGCCAATACGATTGGGTGAGCGAAGTCCTTCCTACTGGTACTTGGAAGTGTCCATCACGATAGCATTTATCACTGTATGGCAAGGAATGGAAGCTTTGGCCGGTCGAGACTAAGGCAAGGTCTTAGAATGATTGACAGCTTGGCTCCTTAGGCCTCTTTTTCTGAAATGAAAAGAACTCGGCGCAGAAAACAACTCAAAAGTAACATGGGGTGTGGAAGGGCGGGTAAATTTTCTTAAAAATTCACAGCAAACCCTAAGCGTGTAACATTTGGAAATGGTGTGAGAATGGAATGTACAAATGCTTGCGCATATATTGCGCGCGCATCATTCCACGTGGTGCGCTGTGATAAATGGATTTATAACGCATTCACTTCATAAATCCGATTATCACAGACTACCACTAAAAACAAGTGACAACATTTCTTAATTATTTATTTATTAAGTTTGGCATCATATGACCACGGCTGATTGCATATCAATTATTTAAGATACATGTGTTCAGTGGGTGCCGACCCAATTGGTTTTTGGCACACCTCCAATCAAAGCAAACAATCAAACAATCAATCAATCAATCAATATTAACTGTACACATGTCATTTTTTACACTATAAGACTGGCGTTTGCTTTCCAACTTTTGCGGTGCGCCAGCCTTATAAAACAATATTCAATCAATCAATCAATATCAAGTTCAATCAATCAATCAATAAATTTATCAATTCAATTAATGAATATCCAATCAATTAATGAATATTCAGTTGAATCAATCAAAAAGTTTCAGTCCAATGAATCAATCCATTTTCAATAATATCAATCAATATTAAATCAATCAATCAATATTCAATCAATCAATGTTCAATCAATCAATACTCACTCAATTCAATGAATTGTAGTAAGTTTATGTTTAAGCCAAACAATATTTCAATTAATCAATGTTCTGTCAATTGTTTTCCATTGACCAGTTATCAAAATAATTATGTTGCAGCCGCGCCCTGTTCAAAGAGGCGCTAGTCGAAATGAATTGTGTTAAGCTAAATCCGCCAAACGTGCATAGTTACTCATGTAATATGCACGCCGCCACAAACGTGGAGGTAGCTTAACACCCTAGTCACAAAACCAGCCATGACCCCAACCATATATATCAATGATACTACTTCTACTATAAATGATAATATTAAATCAAGTTGGGAGTTCATTATGTTTTTGAGACCGCTTTTAAAAATTTTAGCTTACTGCCAGACGAATTGTATATATAAAATATCCTCTGTTGTAATTAGATTAATGATGCTTGGTAAGTGAGTTAATTACTTTTGCGATCTTTTTCCTGATCGAACTTCCCCATCACATCTGGAAACGATACTGAACAATTTAAGGATTCGGCAGTTTTATCCATTGAATGCATATCTTTACACAGCCAAGGTCATTTG